AAAAAAAAAAAAAAGTAAATCTTAAAAAAATATAATTCTTAAAATGATCTTTCCCAAGTCCAGCTTAATGAAGCTGTGAGTTTATTGGGATTACTAACAGGACCATGGGTGAGGAGTGACTTACAAAATATGGCTGACTCAAAGGTAGCTGTATCACTGAATGACCATCCCAGCCTGGCTCATGGCTCAGAAAAACTATATTCCTGGAGCTCCCCGTATAACTTTCAAGCAGCATGACAGGCCAAAGACTATCTCTGGCAGTTGTTAACTGCTTCTACAGCCTTGAGGAGGGGACCTGGTGAATCTTGTAAGTTTTAGGAACTTTCTGAGACTTGTGTGTTGTTTGTATCCTGAGACTTAAGGAGCTCTCTTCAGGATGGATAGTTTCGTTTTAAACAACTTTCTATACAGATATCCTTCCCTGTGTCACCTGCTCCTAACTTCTCTCTTTTCTTTCCTTCCATTAGGGAGAACGAGGTGCCCCTGGTCCCACTGGCAAAGATGGTATCCCAGGCCTGCCAGGGCTTCAAGGACCCCCTGGAGCTGCAGGGCCTTCTGGAGAGGAAGGAGACAAGGTGAGGGCACCAGGGAGAGGGACAGTACAGAGAGGGGTGGATCTGATGGGCGCTGGACACTTCCTAATGTATTTATCTTACAGGGAGAAGTAGGGATGCCTGGTCATAAGGGAAGCAAAGGGGATAAAGGAGATGCGGTAAGTGGGGGGTCCCCAGGGAGGGTGTGTTCATGGGAGGAGATATGGGGTGGCCTTGGCTCTCTGCTTCCCTCAGAGTTTTGGTACCTATCTCACTAAGGCTGAAAGTGCAAAGGTCCCTATCTGAGCATTGTTTGAGCCCGAGAGCACAGGAGAGTGAGAAAGACCTCTCTAGGGATGGTGACAAGGTTCAGTGGATAAAGCTGCTGCTAAGCCCGAGGATCTGCGTTCCATCCCCAGGACCTTTGCAGTGGGAGAAAAGAATTGACTCTCAGAAGCTGGTGCACACATGTACACACATATACAAAATACATAAATAAAATAAAAATGTAGAGAAAGGCACCTGTGGGCCTCAAAATCTCCTATCCCTCCACGGTGAGAATCTACCATGGCCTGTAGCCAGCCACTTTCCCCATTCCCAGCACCAACTGGTTCCACTCCATCCCAGGGTGAGGTTTGTTTTAATTTCCTTTTTTTTTCTCCTTTTTTTTTTAGATAAAAGAGTTCATGTGTAACCCAGGCTAGCTTCAAACTTGCTATGTGGCTTGACTCCTGATTCTCCCGAGTGCTGGGGTCACAGGCCTGTACTACCAGGCTCGGCTCTGATAGAATTTTTGATTTTGTTTCCCGCTTCAGGGCCCTCCCGGACCAATAGGGATAAGGGGTCCAGCAGGCCATCCAGGACCTCCGGTGAGTGCTCCCAGCTTGGCGACTATACCCTGGGTCCTAGAAGTGAAGACAGTGTGCCACTCTTCTGAATAAAATCCCAGCATCCTTGCCCACCCTTGGTCTCCTCTCAATGCCAACACCCACGGTGAACTCAACTCTGACCCTGAATCCGATCTCAGCCCATACTCTCTGTTTTCTGCTCTGATCTTCATCCAAATACCCAAATCATGCAACTCCTAGCTTATCCCTGGTCTCCTCACTCCAATGCCAGCCTCAGATGGGAACTTGAACTTTGAGTTAGACTCCAGCCTTGCTGTAGTTAATTTTCCGATACTGCTACAAATCACCCAGGCTAAATGTTGTATGTGAGTGACTCACGGTACTGGAGGCTGGGAAATCCCTAACAGTGGTGCTGGCATCTGGCCAGGGTCTTCCTGCTTCATTGCAACATAGTGACATAGTGTGTTATTAGCACGTTTGTGAACTTGGGTCTTATACAGCCACTAGTACGGCATTGTGGGGCACCACCCTCGTGACTGCATCTGATCTGCATACTTTCATAGGACCCTATCTCCAGCATATGTTCTAATCAAGTTTTCTATTACTGTGAAGAGACATGACCACAGCCACCCTCCCCCCCCCTTTTTTTTTTTGTCCTTTTTGGTTTTTTGGGATAGGGTTTCTCTGTGTATCAGCCCTGACTGTCCTGAAACTCTCTGTAGACCAGGCTGGCCTTGAACTTACAGAGATCGGCCTACCTTTGCCTCCTGAATGCTTGAGTTAAAGGTGTGTGCCACCATTTCCTGCTTGAGCTGTATTTCCTAATAAGTATGCTTAGCATAAGACAGCTCGCGCAAGACCCCAATTCCAGTTCTCTTTCATCTTCTCATTGCCTGGCCACCTCCCTCTTAGGAACCCTGTCACTGAAGAATGACCTGCTGGTTCAGGTCAGAGTGTCACCAAACTTATAGGTCACAACTTCCATCTATGCCTAAAGTTCATCTCAACCTCCTATGAACCTTGATCATAACTGTACCCGAACCACAGTTCTGATATAGCATGTCACTAACTTAAAATGTCACCTGGTACTTCATTCCTCCAGCTTTTAGCCTCAGCCTGAGCTCCACATCAAACTAAAACCTGACTCACCAAACTTGACTCCAAACCCTAGCCTCTGTCCTAACCTTTGACCCTGTCTGCAACCTTTGATTTGAACACTAACATGTTTGTCCCCATCTTCTTTACAGGGTGCTGATGGGGCTCAGGGTCGCCGGGGACCCCCTGGCCTCTTTGGGCAAAAGGGAGACGATGGAGTTCGAGGCTTTGTAGGTGTAATTGGTCCTCCAGGTCTGCAGGTAGGTGTTTGCTTCCTCAACCCGGGCTCCAGTCTTTGTGTGTGGTGTGTTTGTGTGTGCTGTCCCTGAGTCTTTGTGTGTGGTGTGTTTGTGTGTGCTGTCCCTGAGTCTTTGTGTGTGGTGTGTTCGTGTGTGCTGTCCCTGAGTCTTTGTGTGTGGTGTGTTTGTGTGTGCTGTCCCTGAGTCTTTGTGTGTGGTGTGTTTGTGT